GCTCTCTCTCTCTCTCTCTCTCTCTCTCTCTCTCTCTCTCCAAATGCATGATATATTGTATTAATACCCATAATATTATTCGTATATTCGATCGGTGACACAATTGTGGCCAAACTTTCGTAGCACAACTTATCCTCAAATATCTCTTAAACGGGTAAATCACCATCACTCATACTTTGCACAACAGTTTGTATTTTAATCGTATTTTTCCACAACAATTGAGTCCAGATTAAAAAAACTTTTCTTCATAAATTTACATAGAATACTACAAATCTCGGCCACGCGGAAAATGGGATTGTTCATCGCACTTCTCGCTTCTTGCACACATTTTGTATACGCATATGGCCAACGTTACAGCTCTCCAATGACACCTTTTAGTTGCAAAACTTGTTACAAGAAATATATTTTATAGTGAATAAATTTTTTTGCACTAAAGTTACGTAAACATTTTAAAAGCGGAAGAAACCATCGACTTGGAATTTTTATGAGTATTTATTCAGGTTTTTTTCTCTAGAAAACAGTGTTCAGGTGTTTGGAAAAAATAATCATCAGTTAAGACAAATTGATATAACTCATTGTGCAAATGTTGGAAAACCTATGTCCAAGAGTTAAGGAGATATTTGACAATAAGTCACGCCACGAATTTTTGACTACACTATAATGTACCCCCTCGTCCACACGAAGCTAACAACCACAAACATGTAAGGATTAACATCAGACATCTAGCTCCTTTTTTGAAGTTGAAATATTGAACAGCGCAAAAGAAAGGGCGAATAATTGAATTAATGGTTATCTTTTAAAATCTGAAAAAAGAACAAATTTAAATATTAATCGAAATCTTCTTTGGTCTGCTGTATCCTAGACATCTCGGAGAAGTCTGCTGGAAAAAGTTGTTGCATGAATATAGAAGTAAGTGAAACTAAAACTGAAAAATGTTAAATCTTTTTAAAATGTATAATATAATGTTACGGGTAATAGACACTTGCTGTCTTGGATAGTAATGATAATATACTTTTGTGGGTTACAGAATAATGAAGTGTAATAATAATAATAATGATAATGACAATAATAATATTAATGATAATAATAACAATAATATGATACACAAGTGCTGTGAAGGATACATTTTTAGAAGTTTAGAAAAGAAGACATTCTATATGAAAGTATTTTGAAGAAAGGGAAACTGAGGGAGGGGAAAGGGGGGCAAACAAACGGAAATATCAAAAATCAATATGTGGGTGGGTGGAGGTGGGGGGAGCAGCAGGGGCAGTAAGAATTGAAACGGCGCCATTTTCTGAAACTGGTTATGATTGCCTTAAAAACACTGCTTGATATGTGGTGATAGCACTACGAAATAGCACTAAGCCTTAGCATAATAATATTATACCATACTGTTGGTTAAAGCAACTCTAGCTTAATGAGGACAAGAACGATCTATTACGCCAAAGCAAGCTGATATGATAATTTACTCACAAAATGTCCCCTGGAGAAAGTCACTTCACGTGTAAGGATTGCTTCCAAAGAGGTTATATTTTATAATACTAGAGCTCGCAGCACTGACGTCAACGTGTCAGACAGAGCGGCCTTTTTACCCTCATCGGTATGGCCGGCGTGCCCCCATTTACATGAACAATCTGAGCCCCCATGCCCCAATATTTCAATGCAAGCTTATAGACTTTTCTCCTAATACCATCGAGACGCTACCCCGTGAGTCTCAAAAAGTATTCACCCGTTTGTTGAACTGCGCATGTCTTGCCCTTGTGGTTCAGAGTCCCAGGGTGGGCACACGCAGCCAAGGTTTGTTTTCGTGCGGGACATCACTACCATAAACTCTAGTACTAAATATAACCTCCTTGGATTGCATCAGGACTTTTTGGAAAGCCGGAAGCAGGCAGGTTGTAAAATAAGAATGCCAACCGGCAAGCACATAAGGGACAGGCAGGAAGTAAGGCAGGATAAATGAAAAGATAAATAGACAAGTAGCTGAGAGAGATAAAAAGACACACCGGATGACCTGGTGAAAAACGAAAAAAACCCAACCCAAAACAACAACAACAACAACAACAACAACAAACAAACAAACAAACAAAACCCCAACATAATATGAAGAAGAGTCCAAAGGGAAAACGACCAGTGTCAGAAAATAGAATTCGGGAGGGAAAAAAAAACAATGTTGAAATATTATTGTAGATGCGTAATTTTATTTCTTTTTATCATTTTCTGGCATTGAGGGTATTATCGAAAAGGATTTATAGATCAACAGTCCAAAAGAGATAAAGTTAGAAGTCTTCAAGCTTTTATCAAATTAGTTATCTCACGATTTCCTCACTATGACATTGTCTGTTTTTCCCATGGACTCCTTCTATGCAAATACAAAAATGTTTTTTGTCTGAAAGTTTGGAAGACAACGATTTGCAAATCACCCCCC